GAAGGCTGGATCTTCGAAGATCTATGGGAAGCCTCCATGGTCATATTCGGCATCAGCATGCTCGATAACCTATAACCCCTATAATATTTTGGTTCAAGACCTTCAGGTTTAACTAGAGGCAAGAAAGAGTTAATTAGGGTTCTTATAGCTTTCTTATGAAATGCTCACTCGATTCTTATGAAACTTCTTTCACTTTCGTGCCACGTGTTATATAAGAATCTAGTAAGAATCAGATAGGATTCTTATCAGAATTATAGGCTTACCCCATCACCGTATTACAGTGTACACCTTCCACAGAATTAAATAAATCACTGACTAATTTTGCTTTTTCTTTTAAACGATTATCAATTACTGTACGTTCTTTAATATATAATTCATATGATTCTTCGCCTTCCTTCGGTGGACAGATAATGGCACCTATAATTGCTTGACCCCATACGCTAGAACAACAAGGTGATACTAATTTATTTTGTTGTATACGCACATCTTTATCGATATTTATTAATTCATAATAACCACCTCTTGATCCGCATTCTCCATGCCATCCTTTAGATGCTGAATGAAATGAAGCTAATTCCATTCGATTATACGGTGAACCTAAATCTATTAACACTTTTTTAAATGAATAAAATTTTGAGCTAGGCAAATAAACATTTTCTTGATAGACTTCATCGGCTATCAGAAACAGTCGATGTTTATGAGCAAATTGAATAATATTTTCGATATTTCGAAGTGTTAATACTTGACCTAAAATGAACAATTCGTTATTGAACATGAAAAGAAAAGTATTTTTATGCATACCAGTTGGATTACCAGGATTAATTACAACAATTCCTCTCGGTATACAATGTTCTTTCGCTTCGTAGAATGCTCGTTCTAACTCATCAATATTTAAGGCCCAATTATTATCTTCGTCTAAATAATATCCTATTTGATATGCTCCATATTCTGATAAAGTTGCGGAATACAGCGGGTATTGTGGAATGGGTATCATAATGCCACTAGGTTTATTTACATCATTATTCATTAATAATTTGATCACTGTCTTGATTGCATCGTTGGCACCATTACATAAATAAATGTCATTTGGATCGGATATGATTCCTCCATCACGTTTTTGAATATATTCGCTGATAGCCTGTCGTACACATAGCAGACCACGACTCTCTGTATACGAACCAATACTTCTTCCATCACAGCAGGATAAAAATTGTTCAACACGTTTTCTAATATCAGATGGAAAATCAAGATGATTCATCATAGGAGGATATGAACAGCCAGCAATAAACTAAAATGAAAATGCCTAAAAGACTAACGAGGAAACATTCCAATGTGTCCGACGCCATTCTTAGTCATATTATGACCATCGGTAGCAAAGTGGGCAATTATGGCTAGAGCAGGCGGACATGTGCTATTAATTCAATAATAACTTTTGACAGAAAATACCTAGAGAGCTCCGGTTTCGCCATTCGAAAGAGGAGACTTGGAGGCATGTTTTCATAACCAAAATTGTTTTCAGAAGTGTTTTCTGAAACAGGTTTTCTAGGACATCTTTGGAAAACTAGGACGTCTGTAAAAGTTTTCCAATAGGATTGTATTGCTTTCTTTTCATAAACGGATAGCCCGAGGTGTTCTCTTCAAAACGGGAGTGATTTTCCGCGGTTTGGGCGTTGTATCGGATTTTCACTTTTTAAGTAAAGTGACTTTACAAAAATGTTTTTCAATTATATTAAATATACTTAGTTATATAAGAAACGTAAAAAGGTCAAAGAATGTCAATATGATTGATGTATTAAATGGCACAGAAAAAAATTAAAAATAAACCACAATCAACAAAAAAGAATCTAAAGGATTACCGGACTCGAAATGAACTCGGGATCTGGTCCTTAATGTTAGAGACTCGGACTCAGAATGAATTTTTAACGACTCAGAATCGGTACCCTCCTGGATTCGCCCGATCTTGTCTGCAACTAAGGAATCGGGACACAAATTCTTTTGAACTTTTCCTTACCACTATAGGTCCTGTCGATGGTCCAAATATGAATGAGAACGACGTCAGACATCTGGGAACATTTAGGTATGTTACAAACCCAAGTCTGGACTTGGGTTTGGGTATTGGGTCAGACTTGGGTTATTAAAAGACTCCTTTTAACTGAGATACCTTCTTTTGTTGTAGCTCTTTGAGAAAACAGGATATAATATGTTTATTTCGGCCTGTGGACATACGTAATGCCTGATGCTAACGATAAGAGCTCATTTTGGATTAGTTCAAATATCCAACAGTTGAATGTTTTATTCTACTTACCTTGTTCATATCATCCTCATCCTCGAAATAGAGAAAAATACTAAAAAAATCAGCACTGGTAACATGCCACAAATATGTTAACAAATAATCGGCGAACACTATAAAAAATGGTACAAAAGAATAGGAAAAACTAAAGAACACAAGTGAATTTTTGAAAGCGAAAACAGCGACGATGAAGAGAAAAACATAAATGAATAGTATGGCAGAAGATCGTAAGGTACTACTGATAAGTTTCATTGAAGAAGAATATTAATGTATTTTGGCAACTGACCCAAACTCAATTCCTAGACTTGGGTACCCAATACCCAAACCAAGTCTTAGACTTGAGTACCCAAACCCAAACCCAATACGCCCAAGTCGCCTAGGTTTGGGTTTGTAACTTAGCTACTTACAAGAACTAAAAAAATATGTCAACAACATGTTAGAGTATAAACGTTCAACATCTCATCTCATACATAACAACATAGTATAGTTTTATAGAAAGTGTATTGTTATTTTGAATCTAATCTTACTCTCAACAGCGTGCTTCGCATATTTTCAGGATCGAATTCGTTTACTTGCCATTGACTTCCAATAAAGAAGAACTCAGAATACTCACTTGTCTTATGTATGTTATAGGTGTTTGATTTCCACTTCCATGACAATCGCCAACATTTGCTCGGATAACTTGATCGAATGGATAATGATGACTACCCTAGATTGAAAACGAGACCATATACTTAGCTAAATCGACATTTAACTAGA